AGAGAGTAAGAATTACACGAAAGCATGTTAGAACACATAAGTTTTGTGGACAGCCCAATGCCATCCGCTACACTAACTATATAACTAAAAAAGCCTGGTATCTTATATGGCATTGTAGCTTCACAGAATAGTGCCAAAGTAACCAATCAGAGAGTTATGAGTCAAATTACACAGCGTGGGAAAATGCCAAAGAACTTTCCCACGCTGTGTAAAATGACACAGAGCACTCTGATTGGCTGGATTTCAAGCTAACCAATCAGAATTCTGTGACAGGTAAATGTAGAGACTTACCTGTCAGTCTCTTCATTTACCTGTCAGAGCACTCTGATTGGATGGCTTAAACCAACCAACCAGAGTGCTCTGAGCCTAATTGCAGAGCGGGGCAAGGCTTTATAAGCCTTTCCCCGCCCTGCAGAGCTCAGTCTGCACGGAGCCCTCCATGGGTGAAGATGGATTATTTTTTTTTGCGCTCTTTTTTTCTTTCTTTCAAAGTGCGACGGTTATTATGGATTTTTATTTGGTCCTTTTTGGGGCTGAAAAAAAGATTTTAGAAAAAAGAAGACCTCACGTGGTAATTTTTTTTTTTTTTTTTCAGGTACCTAGTTACTGGTCCCCACTCATTATTTTTAGGGTGAGGGAGATAGGTAGGGGCTAATTAATTTTTTGTGGAGGAGGGTGACTAAGCGTTTGGGGACCCCTAGTCACCAGGGGGGGGTTACATTTTTATTTAGGGCACCCACCCACCGCTCAGGAGTGGGGGCCAGGGGGAGGACAATAGGTGTCCCCCCATTGGTATTTAGGGCCCCCACCCACCGCTCAGGGGTGGGGGCCTGAAGTTCCGAATTTCGGAATGCCGAACCGAACATTTTCCCCATGCACATCCCTAACATATATATTAGACTTGATGTTGCTTCTGTGTGATATCAGATATCTCAAAAAGAAAGAAAAAGCAAAACACAGGTATAGTATAATGTCTTTAAAAGAGTATCAACTATTTAAAAAGCAAAGGCACACACACTTTATTGAGCTACTAAGAGCTCTCCTGTATCCAGCGTGGACGGTACAATCCCAGTCTTAGTATATAAATGTCACAGTGGTTATGGTGTTTCCAAGAAATAGGATATGTGGAAACAAAAGTGGAAGTATCCAATGGCACAGTAGAAAAAATAATCAGATAAAATAAAAAGTACATACACAAACATAGATACACACACACAGACACCGCATGGGGAAGAGGAGGAGCTGGGGAGTCTGGAACACTGGAAGAGCAGGGAGAGCTTGGGGCAAATAAAAATTTATACATTTGAAAAAACAGCATATATATTAATTACCAACATTCTGCTAATGTGAGGGGTACAATGAATGGAAATGGGCTGCCAAGCAGTACACAAATTAAAAAAGGTTCGGTACCTGACGTATGGTATAAGTTGAGGACTTCCAGAAACAAATCCATGACAAAAAAATCCTTAAGCTTACATGTTAACAAGATCTGCAGTACAAGGTAGAGCTAAAATACTAAGCCTTGTGTAAATGCATGCTAACCCATCATTTACGTAAAGAGTTAATCCTGATAGAAACTATAAAGTTGCGCATGTTTTAATATTTTGTACCACAGTACCACATTAGAATTCCAGGGGCTGTGTTTTTCCACTGTGAAGTGCAGTGATTGAAAGGGAGCTCTTTGTGCGGTGAACACGGATGGATAATACAACACTTGATAAAATTATCAGCACCATCTGACTGCTGCCAATCGCACCGGAGGGTGCAATCTGCATAATCAAAGCTGTATTGTTTGCCGCATTAAGCCATATTGCTGTCAAAAAGCATAGAATTTCTGCTGTTGTCAGAAGAAGGCTAGGCACAAATTATGCACATCAACATAATCTTAAAACAAGGCATATTTATGACAACCTATAAAATCTTACAGATCTGTGTACAGATTAGAAGGCCATAAGACCCCAAAAATATTCAACTATAGCTTACAAAATACTTCTATATTATCTTCTTCCTCCGTTAGGAAAACACCTTAATGCATATTCCAGAGAGATGTTTTACTACATTTCTTTTCAAACATAATGTTAAGCATGATTTTTTTTTTTATTACCTGGTTTGAGACTTTGTGATTAATTAAATTTTAGGGTTGTTAACTAATCCAGAAATTGTTCACAAATAGAGCTGGAAACAGAATTAAATGTGAGATTTTTTTTTCTAATTGTTGGCTAGAAATTTGCAATGCCCTGGTCAACTCCAGAAAATTCCCAATCTATAGAATACAAAATGAATAGCCTTAAGAAGAAAATATAGCATTTAATTATTACGCCCTGCTGGCATAGTGCATATACATATAAAAATGCTGGATTGTCACCAGAACGTAAAGTAAAATATCAATGAAAATGCAAGAAGATTATTAATTTAGAGGTAACAAATTCCCCACAATAATGAAGTAGGAAATGTTTATATAGCATAAACTTTTATATAAAGACTTTGCAATCGAGAATGTCATGGTCCCATAGCAATCTACATGTTTGATGCGCTTACATTAACATAAATCAATTCAAAAATAATTTTATGTTTTTATTGCTGTGTCATGATTTATGTTCAAGGGCAGCTAATTATACGCTTTTCCTGTTTAAGATCAATGTAAACACTTGCTGGTATTAATTAGAATTTAGAAGTGCAAATTCCATGACATTGATAAATGATAGTTTTTTGCTCAAGCTTACACATATGCATGTTTATAGGAAACTAATTGCATTGAATACACCAAGGTATTGTGATATATGCTACCATTTACTTTTTCCTTAGGGGAAAATTGCTTCTATTTTTTGGGAAATGGCTCATTTGGATTTAACATTATCATATTATGACTTGGCCCCAGCATTCATGCACTTATTTATTTATTTTATATGATGCTCTTTGATTTGAAGGGAAATGCACATAATTAAAGGCCACAAAGTTATTAGGCATTTCTGATCATTGAGGAGTATTCTAGCCTTGGTAAAGAAATAATCTAAATTTTTATTAAAGCGGCACTGTCATGCCGAATCCTGTTTTTTTTTTAACCCCCCTCCGGCCTCCACTACATCTAACTAACACCCTAGTCACCCCCAAATGCCCCTAAGCCCCCCACATTACCTATTTTTTATTCCTTATTTTCTGCCCCGATCTTGATTCAGGGCGCAGCCATCTTTGTGTGGGTAGATGAAGTCCCCGTGGGACACGTCATCCGCCCTCACTAGATAGACTGTGAGATTCCCGCACATGCCCAGTGAAACACCTGGACATGCGAACGGGAATTTCATCTATTCATTCATTCATTCATTCATTCATTCATTCAGACAGACGAATGAATGAATAGAAATGTCAGCCGAACAAACAAACACTATGTATCAGTGTATCTGAGTATCAGTGTTCGTTTGTTTGTGCAGTTTATTACAAGGAGGGAGCTACCGGCACTCAGCTCCCTCCTTGTAATATGTAAAGATAGAAGTGGCAGGGAGCTGTGCTCCCCACCACTTGGTCAATATGACCCCCATAATAGCACAAGAGAGATTAAAATCTCCCCAATGCCCCTACTCGCTATACTGCGAGTAGGGGCATGTCCACTAAACAGTGAGCAGCCTGTGGCTGCTCACTGCAAAAAAAAAACTATTGGCCCCCACCCCTAAATGACGGGTGGGGGCCCTAAAGTAAGATAAGGGGGGGGACAGTTCCTCCCCGCCGGTGGGGCCATAGTGAGAATGGGGACCTACTGCCCCACCCCTGGGCGGCGGCCATAGTGAGAATGGGGGACCTACTGCTCGCCCCTACCCCCTGCACGGGTGGGGCCATAATGAGAATGAGGGGGGACCCATCAGCTTCCCCGCCCCCCACCCCTGGGCTGGGCGGGTGGGGCCATAGTGAGAATGACGGGGACCTACTGCCCACCTTCCGGGCGGGGGTGGGGCAATAATGATAATGAGTGGGGGGACCTACTGTGCCACCCCGCCCCCACTCCTGGGCGGGCAGGTGGGGGCCATAAGATAATGAGGGGGGGGACCTACTGTCCCCCCCCTCGGCCCCCCCCCTGGGCGGCAGGTGGGGGCCATAAAGATAATGGGGGGGACCTACTGTCCCCCCCCCGGCCCCCACCCTTGGGCGGCAGGTGGGGGACCTAAGTCAATTCCCCCCCCACCAAGGTGACTAGGGGTCCCCAAGCCCCTAGTCACCCACCCCCCACCCAAAAAAAAAGTCCCTACCTACCCCCCTCACCCTAAAAAATTGTGAGGGGGGAATAAAATAACTAACCTGTAAAATAAAATTAAACTTACCATTCAACGTCTTCTTTTTTCTCAAATCTTCATTTTTCAGCCCCAAAAAAGGCCAAATAAAAAAACAATCATAACCGTCGAATTGAAAATAAAATAAAAATCCCGAGCGCAAAAAAAAAAATCAGACGAAAAAGAAAAAACCCGAGCGCCAAAAAATAATCCATCTTCACCCATGGAGGGCTCCGCACAGACTGAGCTCCGCAGGGCGGGGGAAGGCTTATAAAGCCTTGCCCGGCCTGCAATTAGGCTAAGAACACTCTGATTGGTGGGTTTAAGCCAATCAGAGTGCTCTTTGTCATTTTACACAGCGTGGGAAAATTCAAAAGAATTTTCCCACGCTGTGTAAAATGACACAGAGCACTGTGATTGGATGGATTTCAAGCCATCCAATCACAGTGCTCTGTGTCATTTTACACAGCGTGGGAAAGACATTAGGTCTCCCCCCTTATTTTACTTTAGGGCCCCCACCCGTCGTTTAGCACAGGCTGCTCACTGTTTACCAGACATGCCCCTACTCGCGGTATAGCGAGTAGGGGCATATTATTTACTAATACTAAGTAATTTTTACTTGGTATTAGTAAAGTTGGCTGAAAGACCAATTTAGGTCTTTCAGCCTTTTAGTAGATAACTCCCTGATACCGTGTGAATTAGGGAGTTATCTACTAAGCGGCTGCAAGATGCAGCCACAGCATGAATAGGATCGGAGTTTCATTCATTCGAATGAAATTGTGATCCGAATAAAATGCCGAATTGTGTTCTAAAAGAAACGAACATACTGTTCTCATTCAGTTAGAATGCAATTCAGCAGTTTCGTGTAAAATGACAGGAAGCATCGTGGGAACACAGAGGAAAGGTAAGGATCATGGGAAAATTGCTCTGACCAGCGGAAATGAAGCACACTTTACTCCTCCGCTGGTCAGAGCTGGTCAAGCGGAGGAATCCTCCATAAGGCAAAGAGTCCCTACTTTGTCTTATGATTTTAAATAAAACTAAAGAAGACAGGAAGAAAAGAAGAACAGATCCTGAGAGAGGGGGAGAAGAGGAAGAGATTGAGGAAAGGTAAGTTTGGCATGACAGTGCCGCTTTAAAGACAGAAGGCACATATTTGCTTATACCTTCTTTATTGACACCTCAAGCAGCAAACAAACAATTAACACAGTCAGTAAAACATAACCAAATCAGAATAAGGTAAGGCAAACATAACTGTCGACTGGACCCCTCCCCCTCCCTCTTTCTTTGGGGGGGAGAAAAGTTGGTAAACACGGCCAATCCACCAAAGTCAAAATCCTGGAGAATGAACCGCCCAAAACCGCAGCACACTTGTAGACAGGGCCGGACTGGCCCACCGGGATACCGGGAAATTTCCCGGTGGGCCGTCGGCACCTGGGGCCGGCCCTTTAAATACTGCAGCCGCCTGAGCGCTCTGTGAAGAGCGGTCAGGCGGCTGCAACTTCTCCCTGTAGCGTGGCCGAGCTGCACTCCAGTCCGCGGAGGCCGGCCGGAGTGATAGGAAAATGCACACTGAGTGTGCACTTCCTGTCAGTCCGGCCGGTTACAGGAAACAGAAACTCCTGTTCCGCGCACACATACACAGAAACAGACAATGCAAACCCGTACACACGCATGCAAACACACACACTTCTTTTCTTACGTACACACAGAAACACAATGCATCTCATGCACACATATACAGACACACACCTTGCATCCCTTATGCATACAAACACAGATTCACACAATGCATCCCTTACACACAACCAGAAACACATAATACATCCCTTATACACAAATACACACTGCTTCCACTACACACAAACACACTGCATCACCTGCACAAACTGGTAACCCTAAACACTACATACCATAAGCACACATATTAGATCCTCTACAATAACACATAACACATCCCCTACACACTCCACTCCCTGTGAGCGAACTCATGGGTGGGTGGAACTTATGAGTGGGCCTTATGGGCATACTCACCGTCAGGCCCTGGGGCCCAGACCTTGAGCTGTGTAAGGGGCCCCAAAAAATTGAGCTGCTTCCAATTCTCCCAGAACATTGAATTTTGTGACCACAGTTGCAAACAGCCTCCAGAGATCCTGTTCTACACCAGACCAGTGGAGCCAAACTGCAGCCCATCATCATCCTCATCTGCTTGTAAGTAGGCAATCTAGTATATTATTAGTGACACTAATCTATAATTTACCTCACATTAAAGGGACACTATAGCTTAATGAAGTGGTTCTGGTGTCTATAGCTGGTCCCTGCAGGCTTTTTAATGTAAACACACACTGTGTGCAGCACTGGCGTTAGTTCATATGGCAGGTCATATGGGTGGGGCATTGTGATGTGACATGTGGGGGCAGCAAATTTTTATTTTGTCTAGGGCGGCAAAAATCCTTGCACCGGCTCTGATCCTGGGCAGGTGCACCAGTCTACTTGACTGGTTTTGCCCCCCAGGCCTAAGGCTGCCAGCCCTCCCCTGGCCGCTGGGGAGGTCTTTTGGCGGCCGCTGGCGGACTTGTCCTGGCGGCCGCTGAGGGAGCTGCGCTGGCTCTGCTCCCCAGCACGCAGCTGAATGAGACCAGCGCCGGAATATGACGTCATATTCCGGCGCCAGTCTCATTCAGCAGCGCGCGAGGGCGGGAGGGCACTAACACAGGAAGCACCTCTAGTGACCGTCTGAGTGACTGTCACTAGCAGTGTCACTTTGAAGCAATGTAAACACTGCCTTTTGTCTGAAAAGTCAGTGTTTACGTTGAAAAGCCTGTAGGGACATACTAAAGACACCAGTACCACCACATTAAGCTGTGTGTGTGTATCAATGAGCTTGTGTGTGTCACTGAAATGTCAGTGAAATTGCCTGTGTCTGCATGTGCGTATGCTTACTGTATAATTAAACGTTTTACCCTGAAAGGACCAATATTTTATATTAGAAAAGGCAATATATATATATATATATTACTCAATCATCTGTCCTGGCAAGACATAGCCTTACATATTACACGCGACAATATATGGCGCAGTGACTTATGGGGCTGGCACAATTTTTTTTTCCAGGGCTGCTTTGTATCCCCAGTCCGGCCCTGCTTGTAGAGTGGGCAGCAAAAGACCCTTTCACGCCCTCGAAATGCAGAATTCAGCATATTCATGGTAGGTAGGACTTAATATCGTAAAAGGTTGAACATAGGAGATTAAGAGTTTACTCAATGAGATGTAGCAACGAGCTATACAGTTGAGGCCGGTCCAGGAAATAACGGTAAGAAACGGAAGAGTTAAGCAGCTCCAGATGAAGGGAACTGCGCCAACAATCCAAGAGATGTAATATCTCTGGGTGAAGCTGCCAGTCGCTGGCATCCTTCCAGTGATGGGAGAACCAATCCGCCACATGGTTGTCCTGACCTGCAATGTACTCCGCTCTGATGAAGAGATGTCAGCTCAGGCACTACTGGTATAGATTTTTGTAAGAATTATCAGAACCTTTGAACGGGAACCACTTACACGGTTTATGTAGTGCACTGCCCGACACCTTGTCTATCCGAAGAACTAGTGAGCAGTGAACAGTGCGACACTTCCATACAATATAATATGATATAAAGACATTGTTCGTCCGGAGTCCCGAGGCTGCCCATGGCCACGTCGCACATTACGTCAGACTGATGAGCTGGCATCCGAGTCCAAGATGAAGTCCAGGCTATAGGATATAATACTTGTGGGGGTTCCTATGTGTGTTATGTGTATTTTGGGATGTTTTATTTTCTTTACCTCTAGTGCCTGGGAGATAATTAGTTTAAACAAAATACACTCAATTATCTCCCAGGCACAGAGACTCGTGGGCATGTTTCACCATACACTTGCTGGAGACCCCATGCTGAGGGTCTGTGTATAAAAGTGGGCCATCTGGCCATAATAAAGCATTCCTGTTTTACCCTTCATCATGTCTTGACTGATGTTTGGGTATGTGAAAGACAAAACTATTGATTTTTCCAACGACCTGCTTGGATTTCGTGAGAGCATACTATGCGATCGGGCTATAATCACTAAAGCCTCTAGCAGTTCGGGAGTGTGCGTCAGTGACATTGACGAGAGAGGGTGTGATTGGCAACTCTTGCCAAGAGCAGTTCATGTTTTTGAGAGTGGGGGTAGGTGGTGCCAGTGCATCATGACTTTGGAAACTGGTTAAGATGCAGTTGGCATTTAAGCATGGGCTGACAGAGGTCTACGGAGATGGTGCAGCCGGCATCTCTCCCCAGCGGCAGTCTGTGGTGCCTGGAACCACAGTACATAGGCTCCTCACTACTGCAGTATGTTTAAACAATTGGTATACCTTTATCACCTCCAAGCTTTCTAAGGAGTGGGAAAGTGGATGAACCATTTGTGGCTAGCTTTCCGACTAACTAGAACACAGACCAATTTGAGGTCTTGTGCCCAGTTAGTCTGCCATTTGGAGGGGAGGGTGGGGACAATTCCCTACCTTTCAATTGCTTATCATCTGGTTTAAAATGGTGGGTATTTTCTATATAGTGTAGTTATAATTAAATTTAATGTATTTCCCCCTCCTCTCAGTCTTCTTGTTTTTTCATTGGGGCTTGTACCAATGCTCCAGAGACACTTCCAGACCAGCCACCCCGGGAAGTCTACCATGTGGTCTACAGTCCTTGTTATTATCTGTCCCCATCCTTCCTTGTAATCACAGTGCTCCATTCACATGGTTTGTAATTAAGCTTTGTAGTGTGACTGGTTGCAATTTCACGTCCATACTGCTATTGGCAGTTTTCTGTTTACCACACAAAGAAATGGATAAAAACCCAACGTGAGACTAAACAAGGTATTCATTGTTGTTCCTCACTTTATCAAGTGTCTGGCTAAAATTTGTGGGGAAACATCTGTGGAAACTCTCTCTGGAAGATCCTTGGAACTAGCCGAGTAGTGCAGGAAGGAAAGGCTGGTGTTCTGCTACAGTTTCTTTTAGGAGAAGGGATGAACAGTGGGCAAAATAGGTTTGAGTCCAAAGCCTGAAACCAGAACTCCTGTATCCATTACAGTTGGTGTGTGCAAGACTGTAATACAACTGTGAACTCACCTGTCAGCTGAAAGCCCACTAAATCAGCACTTTGTTCCTGGTCCAAACATAAGATGAGAATAGTGTCTCTCCCAGTCACTTCAAAACTGTTTTCGCCGTACTCTATGCTTGTATGTAATTTACAGGTCCAATGCTCACACAATGTGAAAGTTGCGTGTCTGGACACCAGTCACGTTTCATAAGCTCACATTTCAGAATGTTTCATGAAACAATGCTGTAGTACAAGACCTTTCATACTCTATCACAACTCCTTTTTCAGACTGTGAGCTCTAGTAAATATAATATTCTCATTTCTATCTTACTCAGATGTATATATGCATGTGATAAACTTTTCCTGGTATTGTGTAGGTTAAATTATAATAAATCACTGATTGCAAATGATTGAAACAGATCAATTTATTACTGTTATGAAACCACATAATTTCTGTGGAAGTATCACTTTATTGACACAGATAGCTAGGGAGTTTGCTTAATCTTTACATTGTCTGGATTATCACACTGAAACCTACAGATAATATTTCTGTCTCGTCTCAGAATTGTGCAGTACTGAAAGGGAAACTCTAGTGCCAGGAAAACAAACTCGTTTTCCTAGCACTATAGCTTGACCCTTTGTCAAGGTCCTCCTCTCCACCCCCCCTCCGTGGTGCAGAAGGGGTCACTTACCATGGCCCAGCACCGATGTGCCTCGGCACTGGCTCAGTTCCACCCACGCTCCTTCCCTTCCATGGCTACGCTCGCATTAGGATTTCCCCATAGGAAAGCATTATTCAATGTTTTCCTATGGGGATTCCGGTGACGCTGGAAGTCCTCATGCACAGGGTGAGGACGTTCAGTGTCGTTTAGGCTACCAAAAGTCGCCTTCAAGCCCAGAAGTCCCTCTAGTGGCTGTTTGGTAGACAGCCACTAGAGGAGGAGTTAACCTTCAGAGGTAATTATTGCAGTTTATAAAAACTCCAATAAATACCACTCTAGGGTTAAGGGTGATGGGAGTTTGCACCCAGACCACTTCGATGAGTTGAAGTGGTCTGTGTGCCTACAGTGTCCCATTAAACTACAGAAAGGTACAATCATTAGCTGCAGATTTCCACTGTAGTACTGCAGTATTCTATGACATCACAATCATATGACCACTTTTAATCAATAAAATAGCAGGCTCACATACAAAGCCATGTGTTACTCCAGTGTTACCAACTCTTGCATATTGACAATTTATTTTGTTGAAAAGAGTTGAATTGAAAAATAATTAATAACATGTGTAGACTGTTTTGCTGGATTATATGGTAAAGAAATAGCAGAAATTCTCATATTTTATGAGAATACATATTCTTTCCAAACATACTAATTACTCAACTGAGCTACTGAGCATTGTTCTGTGGAAATGCAGCAAAATAAAAAGGATCAAGGCATTAAGACAGGACCGTCTGTGACTGGGATTGATCCCAAAGTATATTCCTGTATGTTCATGTGTGCTCCCTCCCATGCCCGTGGCTTGCTCACTAAATGTAGTAACAGCAGTAAGGACAGAAAAGCAGCAGCTCATATCGAGATTAGTAAATAGATTTCCTGACCCATTTACATTGTATTAGAAATGTGACACCATCTCCCACCGTATCTACAACATAAGGTGATGTGTTCCCTGTGAATCTAATATACACAGTCTATAAACATTGACTCTTAGCTAATCTGTACGCCTGTTTTCCAGATCTAAACGTATATGCTTATTAATCTGGAGATAAGAATGGTATAATCAGAGATGCACAATCACAGCTGAAGTATATAGTCCAGCGAAGGCATGTTAAGTAAGCATACAGTGATCATCAGTGGAAACGTTACATCACAAGGTTTTGCTCTGTAATATCTGAAACCTATAGTACAGAGCAAGGTGCTCACAGACAATACATTGGATAGCTGTCCAGTAGTTCTGACAGTTACTTTTTTGTTTTTGTTTAAACAATTAGGTTAATGAGAAACACTGTAGTTACAATATATCGATTACAATTAAACATAAAAATATATGGGCATACTGATTACATATTAACATAAAAAAATATATGGGCATACTGATTACATATGAACATAAAAAATACGTATTTGGCTTCACGTAACTTTTATATCAGTCGCTGAAGACAAACAACATCTATGCTATGTTTTGCATAAATATGTAAAATTCTAATTCCGCCTAAATGGAAAATGAGAGGGAGGGAGGTGGCAGGGGGATTTTTATAATTTACAAATGCACATGTAGGAGTCTCCACTTTCTTAGAACTCAACATTTCTGAAATTGCATAAGCTCTTTTTGAATAAGGTAGGGGGTCACTCTCTGCTTCAATAGGGAGCTGCTGTAAAACACAGATCTGAGAGTACAAACAGCTTTCAGCAGCACAGCATGGCATCAATACACATGTGTTCAAAATGCCTTGGGTCACACGAGCAAATTTTATATATATATTTGCCCACAATATACTGAAAATTATTAATAATAATGAATAACATACACATTAAGTAGTATACTGATATAACTATGATAGATTGGAACATGGATGATTATATAAGTTAGAAAGTCTGTAGAGTAATATTCTTTATATGCTGTATGCAATGTGCTAATGATCATCTCAGCACTGTGTGATTACCACATTTTGTGGCCATTTCACACTGTGGTTATTTTTTTATCCTTGGTGGCTTGTTTGATGGCAGCCTGCTCACAGATGATCTCCTTGAGACGCTGCAGTCTCATATTTTGAGTGGTCTGGTCTCCTACTCCTGTTTGGCTGCGATGTAATAAGCTCAGGGCATTTATATATTCCAGCTCAGTGTACTTCACGCCTTGGTCAACCACAAGATTTAATAACTCGTCTGCTGTGTTGTACATCATCTCGTAGTACTGCCTGCAAGTTGGTGAGAAGATCAAAGTATAAGCATATTTTTGTTACGTTTGCAGCATTTCATTTTAAGATTGCTCATAGACTAAAATGGCGCACACATGAATACAAGTGAGCTCACACCAGTCTTTAATAACAGTGTGAGGACGCAAAAAACCCAAAAAACTTTGTATGGGGAACTGCAAGAAACAGATCTAAAATAAGCACTATTATCTGAAGGGTACATGTTTGTACATTTGAGGTGATGAGAAAGAAATTTGATATTCCAAACTGTGAACTTTAAAATTATCAGAACATCTTGCAAGAGATTTAAACAACCTTTCAATAGAAGCAATTAGGGAAAAAAGTCAACGTTTAAAAGATGTACTGATGAGGGACATTTTGAAAAGGTCAAAAAAACTATTTGTTACAAAAGTCAAATGTAGAAAGTATTATCCACTGAAAACAAAATGGAATGTATTTACAGTTTTGCTCACATTTGCTGAGGAAGTTTATAGCGGATATCCAGGGGACAAATATACAGCATTGATTGGTGGTTATATTTCCTAAGACTCTTTGTAACTCTTCAGCATCAAAACACTAACACTATTATTTATATATTTATAAAATGTTAATGCATTTCACAGCAGGGCAGACGTAAAATCATTTAGGGTTGAAACATTAAAGTTTTTAATAAGGTAACGGATTGATTCTAATATTACATGGAGTAGGAGTATACATAACATTGAATTGTGTAATTATCGGAAAATAATGTCACCAAGGGGCACTAGGGAAAGATTTTGCCCGGGCATTTTTTTTTTTTAAATCACAGTGCCCCAGTGGGAACTAGGTAGGGTCAGAAGGGGACTTTTGTGAGCATGTTAGTTCAGTGCTCTTCCAGGACATATTTGCTGGTACTAAAATTGATGAACCTGCAGTGTGCATTGTGGTTTATATTGCACATTAAAAAAAAAAATGTGAAAAATGATTTATAAACAATATTTGCCTGTAGAAAATAAAAAAATAATATATATACACACACACACTGATAACAATAAACATTAATATGAAATGCACACTTTGCAACTGAAGGTGTACCAGTTCAGGCAAGCTATTGTCCATGGGTTTCTTTTACCTAACCTGCACCACTAAATGCTAGGATCATAGGCGTGTGCACGGGGTGTGCCTGGGCACACCCTAATGCCTGCGCTATGTGCCTCCATGGGCTGGTGAGGGAGATCATGGAGGCACATAGCGCAGGCACACCCGACACACCCTGTGCGCACGCCTATGATCCTAGCATTTAGTGGTGCAGGTTAGGTAAAAGAAACCCATGGACAATAGCTTGCCTGAACTGGTACACCTTCAGTGGCAAAGTGTGCATTTCATATTAATGTTTATTGCTTTCAGTGTGTGTGTGTGTGTGTGTGTGTGTATATATATATGATATTTTTTTATTTTTTTCTGCAGGCAAATATTTATAAATCATTTTTCAATTTTTTTTTTAATGTGCAATATCACAGGCTGGGAGGGAGACAGGAGAGGACCTGGGGAGCTCTAGCCAGCAGCTCTGCTGAGTTCCTCTCGCAAGGTTGGAGCGCTGCTGCGGCAACGCTCAGATCTCGCAAGAGTGAACTCTAGCCCCGCAGGCTAGAGTTCACTCAACACTGGACCACCAGCGATGGCCGCAGCACGGTCCCCCCTCCATACAAAAGGTAAGAAGGGAGGGGGGCTATTAACTGAACGGTCCCCCCACCCCTACACAATATACACACACACTTACAGTGCCCTCACACACACACACCGCACCCTCACAAAAACACACATTAACAGCACACACACACATAGCAACCAGTGTGTGTGTGTGTGTGTATATATATATATATATATATATATATATATATATATATATATATATGCGGCGTGTGTGTTTGTGCTTTAGGGTGCACACCCTTATGCAATAGGCTGCGCATGCCTATGGCTAGAATTCAGCTTTGAAGGAGCAACTGACTTTATCTAACATGTACCAGGCTTTTTAAACACGCAGCACACAATACGCATTTATATTATATGTTAGAGTTCCCTTCCCTCTTTGTGCATGTCTACCTTAACAACAAAGAGCTATCTAGACCAGCCAGGCAGATATCTCAGCATGACAGTCTGTATCTTGTACACAATCTCTTTTTGGTCCCAGATGGAGTGGAGAGGCTCTGCCTCTTGTGCCTCTTTTGTCGCAACATTAAAACCAACTGCTTAATATGGGTGTAGGTCTTCCTTGTGCTGCCAAAACAGCTCTGATGCATCGAGGCATGGACTCAACAAGACCTCTGAACGT